GGGGGCTAGCTTTAGGAATGTAATCTAACAGTTTAGCAAGGGAAAGGGCAAAACCTGTCTGCAATGATTGGGCATGCATCCTTTTATCAACTGCTAAGAACACTGTTATTGAGAATTTGAGGCACTCTATCTTGGACCATGAGGATGGGATCACATTATATAAATTTATTGAAAGCTAACACGACAATCTGATTCAATTCAAATAACTTTGAGGTCATCATATCAGCCACAAATGAGTTGTATATGAGCTTCTGTCCTTTAAAAGTTTGTTATTTTGGATATTTGTTACATGAAACTGAGCAATTCGGATACATATATCAAATTAGAGATGGGGATTATGAGTTGAATAGATATAGAAAAGAATAGATTTGAGAGATGGACTTGTGAAGCAAACAGTTAGGTGATATTGAATGCTGTTAATGAATAAAGAAGGAAGAGGTAGAGGCCAATGACTGAACCTGGGTACAATATTTAGAAAGAAAAGAAGAGAAGGATCAAAAAAAGAGGCTGAGTCAGAGGAACTACCATGGAGGATAACTATGAAAGTGTTGCTGTAGATGGAAGTTCTCTTGTGTCCAGCAGCCATTGGGTCGCAAATAAACATACAGAGGCTTATATTAATTACAAGCTGTTTGGTCTATGGCTCAGGCTTATTAGTAACTAGCTCACTCATCTTAAATTAACCCATTTCTATTAATCTATATATTGCCACGTGTCTCATGGCTTTACCTGAGTTCCATTACATCTTGCTTCTCAGGCAGAAGCACATAGTGTCTCTACTGACTCCAACTTTTTTCTCTCTGTATCTCTCTTGGATTTCCCGTGGGGCTGTCTCCTATCTTGCCATAGGCCAAAGCAGCTTCTTTATTAACCAATGGCAGTAACATATATTCACAGCATACAGAAAGACCATCCCACAGCATGTTGCCAGTTTGGGAAGCCACAGAGAAAAGAAAAACAAGATGCTGCAAAAAGGTGTAGCCAGTGGGTCCTGATCACCAAACACAATTAAATACTAAGGTTTGATAAAGGGCAACCATGGCCCTTTCCTGGCCAGTCTTGGGCTTGATGGTTTAATAAGAATCCACTGCTTTTGTTACTTCTGCACCCATGAGTCTGTTGCAAGTCTCAGCCTCTTCACCCTTTCACCAGGCTAGCTACTATCTATCTACTTAGACTTGGCTTACCCCTAATTCTTCCAAGATGCCTTCTTTGACTTAATTCTCTGCCCCATTGCCTCCCAGGATTAGCCGTCTGCCTTTGGACAGTCAACCTGTTTTCTGTCATGGCCCCGATGGCATTGCTTTGCCACTGTGGCTGAAACTATTTTTTCATTGTCTGCAATGGTTTGTGAAATTCTATGGTACATAGCGTGGAGCATCTATTTATATCACAGGTTATATTTAAAAGCCTATAGGTACTCTACAGTTATCTGTGGAATGACATAAGAGTTCACTGCAAGTCACTCAGCTAGCTTGAATTTTCTATCTATGTAAGAATCCCATCACAAAACCTTCTATTAAGATCTTACACACATTTTTCTTGAAATTTTAACTTTATGAAATCCATGTGCAAACTTTTGGCTATCGGACACAGTGAAGGGATGCTCACAAGGTCAGAGGTAAGGACTGTCCACTGCTGGTCCAGCTTCCATTAGAACTCTTGTCTCAACCCTTAGGGGACCTGCCCACTCTTCCACAATTCTTGTGACAAGAACATTTAGGTAGAGTTTTTTCATTCTCCCCAGTACCTTTAAACCCTCTTCTGTGAGCAAAAGACGTTACCTCCCACTCTTCATAGGTTTCTATGCTAGTCCTAATTTGGAAATAATCACTACAAATTGGATTTCTATTCAGCACCTCCTACACCTCCCTATGAACTCTAGCACATTAACAAATACCAAAATATTCATGCAAAAATATTTCTCCCTTTAGAGAACACTCTTCTCTGTTCCAGGCACCTCTGTTTAATGTCATCTGATCAGAGCTGACTATGCATTTAATTATAATCTTTCTGTAGCCTGACATCATTGTGTCAGACATGCAGGGAAGAGAACTCTGAGCTGGGGCTGAGGGAGCAGACAATGGAAAAATGACAGCACGTAAGGTACAGAAAACCCCTCTCCCAAAATGTGAAAGAAACTGGAGCAGAAGACACAGCAGCAAGGAATAAATTGATAGTATTCAAATAAATGGAGAATTACAACCTCCCGCCTGGAATTTGAAAAGTGTCATGGAAGATGTAAGTTTCTAGCAGAAACAGAGACTTTCTTTACTGCTGTGAGGCAACCCATTGGCACACATCTCACTCTGAAACCTCTGTTTGTCAGGAACCAGTAGGAATAGGTCTGTGGGGAGCCTGGGAAGAAGGTATGGAATGATCTTTTTAGAACAGTATTCTCAATGGGAGAGATGTTGTCCCCCATGCAATGTTTGGCACTGTCTGAGACATTCTTGGTCATTACAACCAAAGGTCTAGGTGGGGATTTCTCTGGCATGGGGACAGTGAAACATCATACACATGGCAGAAGCATTCTACCCAGCCCTCTGGGTGATCAGTAGTACTAAGACGGCATTCTTGCAGATAAATTGTATTTACTGAGGGAAAGAATAATTTTGTTTTTCTAAGATCATAGTTTTTGTGTTAATTGGTTGTTTAAATAGTGTTCATCAGTCAAGTAAGAAAAAAATTAACTATATGCTGCTTTCAAAAACTCATCTTACAAAGGCTATCATAGAGGATGACAGGATCACTGTATTCATGAACTTAGCAGTACTGTGGTTGCCCGCACAAGACCTGCACATGATCAAGCCAGTCAATGTTCTAGCATGGAGTGGGAAGGGATTCATGAACTCCCAACCTTAACTGAAGAGCTATGAAAAATTGGTGGCTTCTAGACAGTCAGTTTTCTCTTATAGGCCAACCATGCTGCATGCTGGCCCTACACCCAGGAATATATCTATATCTATGTACACACACACACACACACACACACACACACACACACACACACACACATTTATGTATAAAGCCATTACAAATTGGAGTTGATGGATTATTCAAAAAATGAGGACAAGAAGTTTGGAGTGGGTAGGAAGTGAGGTTGAATCTAGAAAGAGTCTAGGGGAAGGAGTGGGTGTGGATATCATCAAAATACATGTATGAAAATTTCAAAAAAATGAATAAAAATGTTTAAGACTCTGTATTCATATCAGAAAACTATGAACAAAATCAGAAAATATCATTTAAATGTAAATAAAAGCTTAATTCAGACAAGAAAGATAAAAGCAGAACTTTATGAAGAAAAAGTGTACAGTGGCCAAGGTACAGCTCTTTTGTCATTAAAATTGTAGTGCAAAGAAAAAGTGAAAAATCCACTGAAGAACTAGAAGGGAAAGGACTAGACACAAACCAGCAGGAGAAACCATTAGCTTGTCTTGCTATGGCACCCCGGCAAGTCTCCTTTCCTAAGTGAACACAGGCATTGTGGGTGATAAAGTGAACACGGACCTAAAAGTCAGAAGACCCACGCCTTTTCAAGAGCCTCTAGAACTTTCATTTAAGAACCATAAAGCTGATGGTCAAGAGAAATACTAACCTATCAAACAAAACGAAACAAAATACAAAAAGGAACTGGTTCAAATAATATTTCAAGCTCTTAATGCAACAAAACTATAAAAATAAAGATAAAAGCAGTAATGAAAAGCCCAAAATTATCTTTAAACAACTTTGTTTTAAGGAAGGATGTAAAGCTGTGAACCTCTAAAGCTGAGCCTCTTGGTACGGCAGCGATTAGCCTTATGGAGCACTGGAAATTGGGTCTGTCTGGACTGAAGTTGCTATGAGGATAAACAGTGGTTTTCTAAGATAGAGCATAAAGAAAGAGTGTGAAATGTTTTATCAGTATGTTTTCATTGGTTACACCTTGAACTGATTGTAGGTATACAAAATATAATATACTATTAAAATCAATTTCCCCTCTCTCTTCTTCCTAGACTTTAGAATGTAGATCCTATGTTTGATAGGAACAGATGTCATTACATTTTGATTGGACACTTCTGCTCTAGGATATCCGTGTCAGCAAGAATTTCTTTCTGGGCTTTGTTAAATAAAGTTCAAACTGAGCTCAGAAATGATTTATTTGTTATGATTAGCATTTCTTTGTGTGTGGAGAAGGGACAGCATGCGTGTAAGGAGGTCAGAGGAAACCCCGAGGAGCTGGTTCTCTTCTCTACCATAGCTTTTGTTACCTTGCTGGCCCAACGTGAATTTTATTTGATACATTCTGTTAAGGTTAGAACCAGAAAAACATCTGAAAAAGAAGAACAATGAATGTAAATATGCTTCTATTAGGTATTAAAAACAATGTTTGAAACCCATAAAGCAGCCAGACATAGTGGCCCATACTCATGGCACCAGTCAGGAGGTAGAGGCAGGAGGGTTCACCTGCTTAAGATTGACCTAGTCTATATAGAAAATTCTGGATTCTAGCCTAGTCAGAGCTACCCAGTGAGACACTGAATCTGTCTGCCATCACTCTGCACACATACACACAAAAAAACCAAAACAATGCAAAGTGTTTTGTAAGCTTACAGATATTTAACTATGCTACAATTCTAGGGCAGAATTAAATGAAGAGATTAATGTGAGAGAATGGAGACTCCAAAAGTGAATTCAAGGACATCTGGGAGTTGAATATTTAATTAAGATGACATGATGAAGCCTTTTTATTTCCCAGCAAGAATGGGTTATTCAAACTGTGGTGCTGGGGAAGTGGCTAGTTATTTAAGGAGACTACACTCAAACAAACAACAAAAGGCTTCTTGTTAGGTGAATATGCAAGGCCGAGCAGACATCAGGCAGGTGGACAGATGGGAAGACTATTCCAGAAAAATCCTGGCCCCTCAAATGTCCTTTAGTCCACCAGGCTTTGTCAAAGCTCATATTTCCAGTTTTCTTCTGAAGCAGAAAGAGCTGCACATAACAAATGTTAGGCCAAAGAGTCGGCAGCACTTGGAGTCCTTTAAGAAGATACAGATCACCTACAAAGACAAGAAATAAAGTGGCTAGAAAAGTGACCACTGACCAATGCATGTTCAGGATACTCAATAACTGCCAGGCAGAATCAGTGGGGAAGGTACCATGGAAGAAACCCCACTCATCATGGCAAGAAGGGATAGCTGCTTCAGAATGTCAACCCAGGATGCTTGTGATCCAAGCTGGGAAAGCCACAGTGCTTTTAAAAAGTGTGTGTATGTGCATGTCCATTTTGCTGTTTTGACATGTGCGGAGGCAGAAGTCAGTCAGGACGTCTTTCCATGATCTCCTCTCCACCTTCCTTTCTGAGGCAGGGTCTCTCATTGAACCTGAAGCTTACCATTTTGGCTCGACTGCATAGGCAGCTAGCCCCAAGGGTCCACAGTCTTTGTTCCCCAGGGCTCCACCAGGTTTTTCCCCAAGCTCTGGAGATCCCAATGCTGGTCCTCACACTTGCAGAGTAAGCAGTTTACCCACGAGTCCTCTTCCGGCACTCTAGTGCCTTTGAGTCCTCCTGGAGATCAAAGTAAACAGATTTATATTTGGTTAGTATGTGGGAATAAAAGAACAGTGAAACATGGCTTCTTCTCTTATGACTTCACAGGGTGCACATGGTGCAGCAGTGTCCTTGGCTTTGTGGCTACTACATGATTGTCATGTCCTGCACCTTACCACTCAGGGGCTGACCAGGTGACCAGCACATCTGAAAAATCAAGCAGAGGTAGACTTTAAATAAATATATACTCATTTGGTCCAGTGGTTGTCAAATTGTAAACTTATTAAAACACAGTGTGCCCCATGCCCAGGGTTTCTGATTCAGTCAGCTGGAATGGGGCCCAAACACATTGCCAGCAGGCTCCCAGGGCTGTTGGCACTCTTGGCTAGGGATTCCACTTTGAGAATTGCTAGATTCTTCAAGCATCTTAAAGGCCAGTGGAATGGAAGACTGGACATCAGCGTGGGTTCCAGAGTTCTTGGGATTCTCCTTGAATTTTCCAACCACTAAGCCAATTTTTAGAATGCTCCTTATGACTTTCAATGTAGGCGAGCTTGACAGGGGATGTCAGTCATTTTTATATCTTCTTCCTCTGATTTATCAGTGAGGGAGTATTAAAGAGCCGGGAGGTGTTAATCTCTCTCCCTCCTTCCCTACTCTTTCCTTGTGGGACTTAGATACAAGTTCCCTGAAAGTGCCAGCCTTCCATCTTCTATGCAGCCAGCCATTCCTAATCTAAAGTGTTCAAATCTGTCTTAAAACTTCATGAATAGTATAGCTGGAAGATAAATGGCCAAGGCTAAGAAGCAGTTTTGGTTGGGTGTAGAGAAAGCAGAGATAAGGAGGATTTGAGGATTTACCTGTTTGGTATAAAATGAATAAAACCAGCTGGAGTGCAGATACAAAAAGATCGGGCCAAGAATTGTATCAAATTACATGGAAGACTCTGATGTATCTATCTAAGCAACATGGAAGGAAAGTTTAATAAATCATACTGGAGTAGTGAGGATTGAAAGAGAAATTTGAAAGACTCATAACTTACCAAACTCACAAAATTTGAAGTTAAACATTTAAAGGTAGCAGACTGGAGATGTGGCTCAATGGGTAAGAATGCTTGCGATGCAAGCATGAAGAGCTGAGTTTGGATTTCAGCAGCCAGGCAAAAAGATGGGCATGGCCATGCATACCTGTAACCCCACTGCTGTGCTCAGTGGAGACAGAAGACTCTGGGTTTTGCAGTCTGCAGAATAGCTCCAGGATTAGTGAGAGACCCTGTGTAAAAGGAATAAGGTGGAGGGTGATAAAGCCGAACACCTGTTGTCCTCCTCTGAGCTCTGCACACACCTTCACACACACACACACACACACACACACACACACACACAGACATGAATGCACATGCACACACTCACACACACACACACACACACACTTTAAATATAGAGTGTTAAGGAGAAAGGACAATGCACTTCAAATGTTACCGTTTGGTATACTTCTTTAGAGGTGTGTGCTAGATGAGGAAATGGCATTGTGGAATGACTACTGTGTGTAGTATACTTAATTGTAGCACGAATCTTAAAGGTCTTATTAATAAAAACAAACCTGGAAACCTGGAGCCAGGTATTGGGGTGAATGCTGAAAGATCAGAGAAACAGAACCAGCCATAGCCAACTTCACCTTGCCAATCCTCAGCTGATCTTACTGGAAGCCTCTGTGTCCTCATCTGAATGGATCTCAGCTGAGCTGCTGCTCAAAAACCTAAGAGCTTAACAGACTCTAGTTCTTGGTTTTCATGCCTTATATAAGTTTCTGCTTCCTGCCATCACTTCCTGGGATTAAACATGTATGTTCCCATGCCTGGCTCTTTCAAAGTGTGGCTTTGAACTCACAGAGATCCAGATGGATCTCTGCCTCCAGAATGCTAAGATTAAAGGTGTGTGTGCCACCATTTTCTGGCCTCTATGTCTATCTAGTGGCTGTTCTGTTCTCTGACCCCAGATAAGTTTATTAAGGTATACAATATACTGGGGGATACAATATTGCCACACTTTATCTCATTCAGTCCTTATAGCAAGCCATGACACAGCCATTGATTTCAAACTTTCAGATAGGGAAACTAGAAAAACAAAACAAAACAGTTACTTTCTCAATATTGTCAGACTCCATGTCCCATGTTCCCTATGATTCCAACAGAACAAGTGCAATGGAGACTGCTCATTTGAGAGAATGGAGCTGGTCATGGTGGCTCTTGGCTGTAATTCAAGCATGTGAGAGGCTAGGCCAGGAGGATCATTCCCACAGCTTCTGGGAAGATGTTGCGGGAGGTTCATGAGTTTCAGGTCAGTCTGGGCTATATAGCAAGACCATGTGTCAATAATAAAAATAAAAGAGATGAAAACTGGTTCTATATAGGCTTGGGATGGGATAGCAGCAAAAGAATAATTGAGAGCAGAATCTGGGAATGAGACAGCATCCCAGAGCTATAGAATGAATGAGCTTGTCCACGAAGTGAAGAGCAATAAATACATCCCAGACTCCTGCTTGGAGCAGGGGAAGAGTGGCAGTCACTCGATCCCAGGGAGGGCTGGATGGTTGGTAGAGAGACTAGAAAACGTAAGAATTACCCTTTGCCATCTATAATAACTTACTCCTTAAGGATCAGATTCCATCTACCCATAAATAACCCTGCCCCCACTTTATGAAGAACCTAGAGAAGGAAGGTGGTTCCCCCAAGGAGCAAATATATTGAATCAAGGAACTTGTTTTTTTGAGGTGCATGACTAGGTGGATGATTTGAGCCATAACCTAGCCACTCAGAACTTTAGTTTTTCCTCATTTGTCCATCAAGATAATGTGTCTGTCCCATAGAATTCATGTGGGATTTAGTGAGACAAGTCAGGGAAACATTAAGCATAGTAAGTGGTGTAAAGCAGGATTTAGTCAATATTTGTCACATAAATGAGTATGTATGTATCTTGTATATGTACATATACACATATATTTGCTCAATACACATATTTACTCATCTCTGAAGAAATCTTGAAGTCCAGAGGGAGGAGGCATGCTAACTAAGTCTGCTTGGAAGATGAGAGTTACACATTTTCTGTCAGTTGTAGTTGAAACATTCCAGTTTGGGAATCTGGGTCAAGCTATATCACTGTGCATTAATTAATTATAAGTTGTGATTCCAGAAACCTGTGGGAAGATGAGAAAATAGTTTAGTGCCTCCAGTTTCTCTCAGCAACAAATGTGCCTCTGATGACTTCCAAATGCATGGATCTTCACAGATCACATGGAGAATACATGCAGCCTACTTATAAGGATGGCCATTGTGATGGTTAATCTTACTTGTGAATTTGATGAGATCTAGAATCATATGGATGCTGGGCCTCTGGGCATACCTGTGGGGGATTATCTGTATTGGGTTAATTGAGATAGAAAGGTCTGTACCTTGTGAGCAACAGCATTCTCAGGCCTAGGATCCTGTATCATATTAAAAAGGAGAGAGTGAACTGAGCACAAACATTCATTCATCTGTTCTTTGCTTCTTGATTGAGTATGCAATGTAACCAGCTGCTTGAGCTACTGCTGATGTGACTTCCCCACCAGGATTAACTGTGAGCCAAAATAACCTTTCCCCCCCTTAGCTTGTCCATGTCAGAGTATTTTATCAGAACAACAGGAAAAACTTGACACTGACTATATTCTAGTAACCCTTCTACTCTTCCTGCCTTGCTGGAGAAGGTGAAGAAAATCTACTCAACAATTTGGATCCATATCCAAACAGCTTTGATAGAGTTGAAGGATGGGCTGTGCAGATGGTTGTACTCATTCATAACCCAATACATTTCTCTCAGCCAGCTTCACATTCAAGGCATTCATCACCTAAAGGAATAAAGTGACTTACAAGTAGAAAACCATGAGGCTCTGCTAGAGAGGAAAGGAGTGAAGAATGTGAGGGAGTAAGGGAAGGAGTGATTGACAGACCAGTGCTGAAGTGAAATAAGTCTGTAAGGAGGAGAAGAAATAGCCTTGGAAATTATAGGGAAGGGTAGCAGTGGGGAGCAGAGCCAGGCATCCCAGGCTTCCCATTCAGCATATGCCTTTTATTTATAAGTGGTAAACAGAGAGGGCCATGGGCACTTTTGGAGGAAGAAGGTCACCATGCATTTCTTTGTCCTGATTTGGTCAGGACTGTTGGTTTTTATCACTGCCCCCACCCCACCACTTCCTCACAAATCAGGATGAATGGTCATTCTACTTGGACTTAATGCTGAAAAGACAGTGTGAGTTATTATGTAAATAACAAGTCATTTAATTTCTTCTGACTAGCACAAATTACATCGCATTATTATGTTTTTGTGATTAATGATATTAATTATTATATAATTACAAACGTTTAACATATACCATTGTTACTAGTGGTCAGTTTCTGGATAAGGTGTTTCCAGGGTGTTGGCTTCTTTATTCAAATAACTGAAGCAAAGATTTTGAAATGGTAAGGGAACTTTATTAAAAAACCAAGTACTAGTACAGATTTGATATAATACCAAGAGTGACATCGACCACCTTACTGAAAGGGCCCTCAAAGGTCTTATGTTATTTCCTTGAGCTTGTTTCATTGTGTCTAAGGATAGGAACATTTTCCTGACAGAACAGACTTGAGTTGTACAAGCTTTTCTTTATTGTGGATGTTGCTTCCCATGATGTATCTGATTTTCATGCCCAGTTATATATAAGAGGTTGTTTCCCCCTAAAAGTTCCCTCAAAGGACATGGTTTGCCTTATTGTTCATGAACCTTAAATTGGTCCAGAATGAGTTGGCCCCCTTACTTCTGTGTACACACACACACACACACACACACACACACACACACACACACACACGCACACACACACACGTATATGTATATATGTGTGTATATGTATGTATACCTATATATGTATATGTGTGTGTGTGTGTGTGTGTCTTAGTTTGCTCTCTGTTGCTGTAATAAAACACTGTTGAAAAACAACTTGAGGAGGAAAGGGTCAACTCACACTTTCAGGCCACAACCTATCACTGAGGGAAGCTAAGGCAGGAACCTGGAGGTAGGAATGGAAGCAGAGACCACAGGAGAGTGTTAGTTATTGGCTTCCTTCCTATGGTTTACTCAGACTAATTTATTATACAGCTTAGGACCACCTGCCCAGGGGTGCACTGATCAGTGATTAATTCCCATTAATCAAGAAAATGCCCTTACAGACTTACCTACAGGTCAGTGTGACGGAGACAATTCCTTAATTGAAGTTCTTTCTTCATACAAACCTATAGTTTGTGTCGAGTTAACAAAATCTGATCAATACAACATGGGTATATATTTGAATAGAAGCTGTCTATGAAAGGAGAGGCATTGATGGTGGACAGGAGAACAACTCAGGCCATTCTTTAGAATGAGGCACATACACTACTTGATGCAGGTAGAGGTCCTAGGTTGCCAGTTGCATTGCTAGGAGGGTGATGTGTTTGCATAGTTTGCATGTAAGGGACCTAGGTTGCCAATCACACTGTTAGGGGAAAGATACATGTATAGCCCAAGCCAAGCAGAGTTTGGGGTTACTAGGCTACTCCCCATGTTTGCCTGCTTTGTTGCATTTTTGAAACCCTGTGTTGTTTTTTTTTTTTTAAATTTTAACTGTACTGAATATTTCATCCTTCAAAAGGACCAGCTGCAGATGGAGATGTGGAAAATGCAAAGGTGAGAGACAGCATGGTATACTTGGGGCTGCAAAGAAAGAATTTCCAGGGTCCAGAAACCATATTCTTATGCATGAAGGCTGATAGAGGTGAAGGTTAAGGGCTGAACAGTGGTCAAGGGTATACTATCTGGGCCAAGGAGTCTATCTCATGATCTCAAGGAGTCAAAGTTGTTACACAAATGAGTATCACAGCTGGATCAGGTAGCCCACACATATATGACTTTGGAAAGTGGAACAGTGTGGGATATATAGGGTAAGATCAGAATGGGAGAAATATTTTGGTTACTACTGTAAGTATGCAGGTAAAGTTCTACCAAGATGTGGAAAAGGTAATCATTTAGTAAGAGAAATAGGCAAGACTTGGTGCTTGGCTGATGAAAGTAGATGTATGGTTGGGAGTGGTGATTCTCTGTGGGTATAGGCATGTGGCAGCATCAGTCACCAAGACAGGGAAAATGATTGTCTGAAAAAGAAAGAAACATAGATGGGCAGAAATACTGAGGTGTCCTTCACCTACCAAGTCCAAGGCCAGTGACTGAGATAGTGTAGTTAATCACAGCAGATGTAAGTACAAATGTTGGCAGCTCTAGTCTAGGGGTAACAAGAGGGCTGATTCTTCTCCTAGAGGAAGGGTGGATGGTTGATCCTGCTGGACCAGTTCGGCATGCTGTCAGTGTGCCCACACAGAGTCTGCCCCTTGGGAATCATCTGGAAAGTCTGCCTTTTGTTTTGTGACCCAGTTCTAGACAAAAATGACACTAATAATACCCATTCACTTCTCAGGATTGTGAAGTCAGGAGCTAATGTATGCACTGGGCTCATTATGCAAATATCCCCCGGCAAAGGCATGGCAGGATCCCTCACACATTCCTTCCCCACTTTGCCTTCCCGGGGTTCTGAAATCATCTATAAGGCATAGCCCCTGTAGTCTGTAGTTATCCAAAAGCTTGAATGTGATACCTCTTCAAAGCAATATTCTTAGTGGTCAAATGTGTCTTGAAATCATTCTGGGTATAGGAACCCTCAGCTCAGGTAATTTTCTATATGGAGATAAGAAAAGGCAGCACTAGAAGCTCACAGCACTGGGGCATGGGAGATAGACACCCTGTGACTTAGGGTGAGTGTCTGTGTCTGAATTTCTGCACAATGAGAGTACGAAGTTACCCAAGTCAGCAAGACCCAGCTCAGAAGGCAGAGTCTACGAGTCTATTCAATAAGATGTCATAGCTTGCTAGTGTGTGAGTCAGCAGTACTCAAATATATTCTGAAGCAAGGAGTTAAGATTTTAATTTTTGCCATCTTGTTTATTCAGTCAATAAGCAGGCAATAAAAGGCCAGACTGTGTGGTAGCTGCAAGCAGAACAGTGGCATGGGGATACACATTGGCAGGCCTCCTTCAGGGTCCAGTAGGAGATGGTTGATCAAGATACTAGCTCCAAATGTAAGGGGTTCATGGAGAGAAAGTGAGACTGGCCATACCATGCCCAGTACTTACCTGTGCCCACCCACCTTTGTTTTATAAGAAGACCTGCCACTGGGCCCTGAACATATGAAACACCCCCACACAGAGCAGCCTGCTCCAGGAAGGAAGGGGCCCTGTCCCCCAGCTCTCCAGACAGCAGAGCTTTCTCAGTGTCACTGTGCATTGACTCCTCAACTTGTGACTAAACTATTTTTAACTGACTGTCGCCATGGCAGCGCAAGAAGCAAGGGGAAAGATGTGGATAACAGAGAAGTTTCAGGTGGCCATGACTCTGAGAACTCTGGCTTTCGTCAAGTCTTGGGATTCTGGTTTTTAGGGAGCCACTGGGCCACCACATGGTATGGCCACTCTCATTCTCACTTCCCTGGGAAAGTTGACCTCAGTGTTGTAGGCATCATGAGGGACGTGTGGCACAGCTAACATCTTCTAGACTCTGTAGCAAAACCATGTTTACCTCTTAGAAAAAGAGACCCATGCTTGGGCTCTAGCCCATCCTGTTATGTAATTTCTGAAGGTGGGACTCAGGTGTGGGGTCTTAAATACTTCACGTGAGTCTAACAGACAGTCTGCATTAGAACTACTGCTTTGCAAGCCAAGCTTGGATGTGCAGAAGATTGACTTGAAATGTTTGCTATCTAGACTCAGCACAGGGCTGGCACAGGGCCTGAGAATCTGCATTGTTCTCAAGCTACTATATGCTGTTGCTGGCATCCCACATTGAGGTCCCAGATGTAGATCATTTCATACTGGACCAGTTTGAAGGGCAGAAGGGTTTTTTTTTTCCCTTGTCAACCATCGTAAGTGCGATTTTCAGTAAGTCCAAGTCTGAGCTTTCCCTGTCCATAGGGAATGTTAATTAGGCCATGCCATTGCTGAGAGCCCTTCAGCCTCAGCTTTTCTGTGACTTGAGGGATGATGGTCAGCAGTGTGTCAGACCTTGCTTATAATAGCTTGTGAGAATTGGGTG